GTGCATACCGACGCTAGCAATGTCGGCTTAGGAGCTGTACTCATGCAGTGGCAGGATGGCGCGGAACGAGTAATTGCTTACACGAGAATAACTCTTTCACGTGTCGAAGAAAATTATTCCACCACGGAAAAAGAGTGCCTTGCGGTGGTGTGGGTGGTTATAAAATTCCGCCCATACCTGTATGGTTGTTCTTTTACTTTTGCCAGCGACCATCACTCCCTCTGCTGGCTGACGAATTTAAGTGACCCTTTAGGACGGTTGGCGCGCTGGAGCCTGAAGCTTCAAGAATTTCACATGACCGTGGTCTACAGATCGGGGAAGCGACATTCAGACGCTGATTGCCTTTTTCGTGCTCCATACGAACCTGCTACATCAGAAGATGATGATACAGCCTTTGTCGAAGTTGTAAACACGGCAACTGTTGCACAGCTGCAACGAGACGACCCCGAACTAGAACCCATAATACGCTTTTTAGAGGGTCGCACTTCAGCTGTACCTAGACTGTTTGCGAAAGGGATTTCGTCATTTTGCTTGCGCAACGACGTCCCGTATAAGATGAACTTCACGCCACATCGAAACGACTACTTACTCGTCGTCCGAACATCTCTAAGGAGCGAAGTATTACAGGCATGCCACCATGAACCAACATCCGGCCACCTGGGTTACACGCGTACGTTGTGCAGAGTGAGGCAAAAATACTACTGGCCAAGACTGACGGCGACCGTTCAACACTATGTTCGGACGTGCCTTGATTGCCAGCGCAGAAAAGTTCCACCCGTCAAACCAGCAGGCCTTCTCCATTGACGTGCCTGTTACTCCATTCGCTCAAGTCGGAATGGATCTTTTGGGCCCATTTCCAACCTCATCAGCAGGTCGCAGATGGATTATAGTAGCCACCGACTACCTCACTCGTTACGCCAAAACCCAGGCTTTGGAGAGGGGCACGGCAAGTGAAGCAGCCCGATTTTTCGTAGAGAATGTGGTGCTGAGGCATGGTGCTCGCTCCATCAGTGGTAATAACTGACAGGGGGACTGAATTCGCAGCCGAACTATTACAGACAGTTTTAAGACTTAGTGGCACATCCCACCGGCGAACAACATCATCCGCAAGCGAATGGTCTTACGGAGCGTCTGAACAAGACACTTGCGGATATGCTCTGCATGTGGAATAAAAACTGGGACGAGATCTTGACGTATGTCACGTTCGCCTATAACACGGCTCATCAAGAAACAAGAACAACCCCACTCCGCCTTCTTCATGGCGGTGAAGTCACCACTATGCTAGATGCTATGCTGCCGCACGAGTGCGAAGACGCTGAAACGGATGCTGATTATATCACTCAGCTTGCCGAAGAAGCCCGACAACTTGCACACCTACGTATTAGTCGCCAGCAGGACTACGATTCAAGACGGTACAACCTTCGGCACCGACCAGTCTCTTACGAGCCAGTAGAGAAAGTTTGGATATGGACTCCTATTCGACGCCGTGGCCTCTCAGAAAAACTTTTAAGACGGTACTTCGGTCCCTATAAAGTTCTGCCACGTCTCAGTGACATTAATTATGGGGTTTTTCCTGATACTGCGCACTCTTCAAGGTGTCGAAGGTATGCTCCAGAACTTGTACACGTGATACGCATGAAGCCTTATTTCTCCGAATGAACTCATGCGTTTCCAACGAGTACAAACCGCTTTGATCATAAAACATTGGGACGATGCTTTCTTGAATGGGAGGCTAATGTCACGGCTAAAGGCCGGAAAAGAAGACAGAGGACGACGAAGTGGTGAGCGTGGACAGCACCCACGGTTCCTTTCAGGAAGAAGTCCAAGCGGCTGCTCTTTTGTTCTGTTAATACAGACGTCGGTTTTCCAGGTCGCACCGTCGTCCTGTATTCTGTTATTTTCACTAGCGACAATATAATTAGGTTTCTTGGAAGTTGCACGCTTTTAGCTCTGCAACATGACAAAGTGAAAACCTTAACCCTTTTGCCCCGCTCTTTTCATCCCTTACCTTCTGTAATTTTTTACTGTTCATAATTCAGAATGTTTCAAATAAAGTGTAGAATGCCAATAACTAATTGGGAAGCTCATACAAAATATGTAATACACGTGAGAAATAAGACGTAAAAAGTCTATATTTCACCTACCCTAGTAATGGTTTATGTACATTTTTTTATTATAGAATAAATTATTTAAATTTAAACTAGATAATTGCATTTGTCATAGTTTGAAAAAATTTGGGCAAAATTTAATGCAGATCCGAGCACTTGAAGTGCCCGAAAAAGGAGGGGCGCATAGGTAAAAATGGCAAACTTAGTGTTTTGAGAAAATTGAGTTTTAAAGTTAAAATTGAGTTTTTACAGCTGGCGCATGTGAATGACTTTTAAGCATTGGCTTTTGCAAGCCAAAAAATTAACTGCCGCAAATCAGACCAGCTACTCGTAGCCTATTCCTACAAAGCATGCCGCACAACGGCTTTCACTTTCGAGCGATGCCTTTTTTCATTTATAACGGATATAATTACACAAGAAAAGCATTGTTCAGCTGCGCTGCTTGACAAGACATGGACCCCGCAAATAGGTTTCACGGCACATGCAGGGGTGCACCGGCCAATGGCAGTCCCTCATCCGTACCACGTGATAAGCCAGTCACGGCGTTCGGAAAACGCGCAGAAGCAAAGCTTTTTTTTTATTATTTCTTGCGCTGCATCAGCGAGAGAAACTTGTTATTTGAAGAGTGAGGCTCATGCGATCAACAATGGCGAGCGGTCGCGCATTATCGGCGGCAAGGTGCTCAGACTGCACACTTCGGAGCTTTTAACGGGCACCTTGTGTTCTTCAGATGCAATTTTAAAGCATTTTTCGTTAAGTCTCGACCTCTGTTTTTTTTTCCATAAGATTAGAAGATGTACTAATCTTATCAAAAAGGGCGAAAATAAAAAAATCGGTAATTTCGACTTCATGTCCCCTTAAGGAGGGACGTGGCAATGAAAATAACCTTTTTTTATGAAGCTAAAGGTATGAAATTTGGCATGCAGATGTCATTTGTTGTGCTGATATCATAACTGAAATAGATTTTGATCTATCGTAACTTTTGAGTTGCAGTGCACTATAGACTCTCATTGTCATCCCAAAATTATTTAGCTAATTAGACACAAGTTTGTCGAATACTTCGCATAATGATATTTACATGGGTTCATTTTGTGCCGTAATGCTATTGGTTTATTTTTAATATTTAAGTAAGCACACGGGAAGTTTTTTTGAAATGTTCTGAATATTGTCTTAGCAACAACTTCTACAAAAAGCCAAGTACAAAAGTATATAACGTGCACACAAATATGGACAGCTTTACGGCTCTCACCAATGTGTCAATCTTAGTGCAGGAAACGGAATGACTATAGCTTAATTTGTTGTGAAATGGCACAGGGATGACAGACAACTGCTCATAAATTGAAAACCCGAGAAAATGGAGCTCAAATAAATTGGAGCTAGAAGCTGATATCATAACTGAAATAGATTTTGATCTATCGTAACTTTTGAGTTGCAGTGCACTATAGACTCTCATTGTCATCCCAAAATTAATTAGCTAATTAGACACAAGTTTGTCGAATACTTCGCATAATGATATTTACATGGGTCCATTTTGTGCCGTAATGCTATTGGTTTATTTTTAATATTTAAGTAAGCACACGGGAAGTTTTTCTGAAATGTTCTGAATATTGTCTTAGCAACAACTTCTTCAAAAAGCGAATTACAAAAGTATATAACGTGCACACAAATATGGACAGCTTTACGGCACTCACCAATGTGTCAGAATCTTAGTGCAGGAAACGGAATGACTAGCTTAATTTGTTGTGAAATGGCACAGGGATGACAGACAACTTCTCATAAATTGAAAATCCGAGAAAATGGAGCTCAAATAAATTGGAGCTAGAAGCTGATAAAACGGAACTCTGAAGAAAGCTGGCTTTATTTTTCATTGGAGAATTGCATAGTGGCAGTGTGCTAAGAGAAAACTGCAAATTTGCATTTTGCAATGCCCAAATTTTACATGGCCTTTGACGACAGCCAACCAGTAAAATGCTTGTTTCCCAACTTCTACAACTTATTTTGATATAAAATTACATTGACTTAAAAACTGGGTCTCCGGATTACAGAACAAAAATTATTGAAAAACTGGACATTTTGACAAAATTTACAATTCCCATCGCCACGTCCCCCCTTCACCCACCACAACCTTGGTGAAATATTTGAGTATCTACTGCTGCCGTGGGAGGGAGAGAATCGTTACCACCAGATACCTAGTGGTTAAGTAGGTACAAGGGCGCTTCTAGCCTGGTGCTTGGAAAAACTAAGTTTTAGTCTCTTGGGAGGGCGCCCACCCTGGGAAATTGGTAGGATGGGACAGCCTGACCTAAAATTAAGGTCATCTCTTCCCCCTCTTTTTTTTTTTTGTGCTGCCATAATTGTGGTAGCAAAATAAACTTAGCCCTGCCTTAGAGCTGAAGCCGTATTCTTAAGCATAGGCAGTGATGAAAGTGCTGCTCTCATTGCTCCAGACTGCTTCGCCCCACCAGAATGTGTGTTCTTTCTGCATTGCGTGCCTGGAACTTGTGGCTAGGTCTGCCAAAGAGCATAAGCCATATTCTCAAGCATAGGCAATGTCCTTGTAATGTACGCTCAAAACACTACTTTCATGGTGGTTGGAAGTTACATGATAATAGGTGCAACAGAAATAGGAGCACTCTGTGCATGCACTCATTTTGTTTGGGCAGAAAGCCCAAAAAATCTGATCGCAAAGGGTTTGAGCATCCACAATTTCGGTCATTTTTGATGTACATCTGTAGTACTTTAACAGTGCCACAACGACAGCCAAACTTTCAAGCCTGTCCAAAGAATAGGCAGTTGACTATGTTGTGATCTTTTCTGCCATTGTATCTTCTAAGTGTGTTCCCACGGTGACTGCTTGGATGTTTTGATTAGGAAATGGTTTGTTCGTTTCAGCTAAAGCGGCCGCTGACGCCAACGCTGCAGCCTGGGCTGCATATTACGCACAATATTATGGGCAGCAGGGTGGCCAGCCTCCACAAACACCCCAGCCTCCGCAGGCAGGTGCTGCTCCCGCAATGCCCACTCAAGCTGCTCCTCAGCCGCAACAGCAGCAGCAGCCTCCACAGGCAGGAGCACCTGCAGGTTGGTCCTGTTTCATATACAGTTAAACCTGTGCATAACGGAATTGGTGAATTCCTGGAAAAATTCGTTATAAAAAAACATTTTATTATAGGCAGGATGGTACGAAAGTAGGTGCCATTGCCACGAGAATGGTGGCAACGCCGGCTCGTGGTGTGCAGGTCCGCCTGCCTGCCTCGCGCTCACCTGCACGTAATAACGAGCGCCCACTCTCGCCCGGTGCTTTGTGCAGCCGCTGCTCTTACCAAAATGCCTCAATGTGGAGCAAAATTCGTTATATAAAGGTTGTCTGCAGCTTTTACTTTGTAATATAGCGACCTGTAATATAGAGGTCGCAAATACAGTCGACTCTCGATAATTGGAATTCGAAGGGGCTCGAAAATTTGTTCCAAATAGAAGTTCGAATTAATGAAAACCAAGTAAACGTAGGGCTCGCCATGCAGTGGCACATGTGCATTGAGCTAACACACGAGGGGGAAGTTTCAGAAGACTTACAATTATTCATAAAGCACAGGACATCCTTTAATAATTGAAGTAATCGGTGATGTGCGTTTGCACACGTTTGCCTTGCAGTGAGTTAGTTTCGCATGCAGCTTGCAAAGCATGTCTTCTTCGGCTTCAGCATTCCCCTTGCTAGAGAAGTTTCGTGCGGCAATGTCTAGTGCCGGCACTCTCTAAAGAGACAACTGCATCTCCACTACTACCCTCTGCACCAAAGTCACCACGAGAAAGTAGGAGCGTCTCCACACGGAGAGAAGCAGATCCGCATTTTAGATAACCAACACTCCACGGCAGCCTTTTTTTCTTTGTTTGCTCTCTTCGCTGGGGGTCGTTGAAAGGAGAAGGGTTACGTGGCAGGGGACAGGAAAGGGGAAGCGTGGCACGGGCGCATAATAGAGCCACACTCCGCAATAGCTTTTTTTAGAGTTCTTGTGCTGGGTACCCAAGCTCTTAAGGCGCACGTACTCAACCCATACCCAACTGGAATGCCTTATAAAGGCGCGCACGCAAACGCAAGCCGCACGAAGGTCACACGCGCTCGCAGCACCATAACGTCTTGTCGCGTAAGTAAAGTACTATTTATGTTTACGATTTAAAAATATTAAATTAAACTTACATAGTGATATCAAGTAAACTAATTTCAATAAATCATTTTTAAATGATATGACAGTTATCAACACGAAACAAAAAAAAAAAGCTTTTTTCGTATGCGCCACACTTGCCACTGAAGCCGGCACCGTCGATGCCAAGCAAACCAGACGGCCGGTCGTAGTCCAACAAGTGCAACGACAGAGCAACGGTGTAACGTGTAACTTTTAGCTTGTGTGTATACTTCTTTACGTTAACGTGTTACCAGATAGCAGTTTGCATTTACAGTCTTACCGGAGCGCGCCTCTTCCAACGTTTTGAGCTCCTCATACGTAAACATTGTATGCCTTTACGTTTTCGCAAACCATAAATGGTAATGCTAACTACATTTGAACTGCATTTAACACACATAGGAATGAGTCACCGTTGCGGCGAAATCTCGACTTTTTTATCGCATAAAAGTGAAAAGTGCAAGGTTGCTGAATCGATAGTGTCGACATCTTGTGACACTTCGTGCAACCACAGTCATGAACATGTTGACTTGCGCGTAATGTTTTTGAGGTGAAAATGAATAAAAAGGTTACTCATTTGTAATAACGCCGCTGCTTGGTTTTTTCACCAGACGTGCAATGCACAATCTTTCTGCAATAACAATGTTGTGAATGTCTGGTTTACTATGGCCGCGCTAGATGGCGCCACCTGTTCAGCTGGCTGGGGGCTGACATATTATTGGTTTCTATGTTCCAGGCCATTCTAGCTTTGGTAATCTGGCTGAAACAATGTAATCGCTATTGGTGCTCGCACTTTTGCTTATATTAACTCGACGGCTAGAGCATCCGCAGTGCGGATACTGTGAGTTCCTGCGAAGGTGGACATTCAAGGCGGCCGATCCACGCTATCCGAGATTTTGCGCATTTGTGCCATGCTATTTGTATAGTGGCTAGCCACTATAATATTTGCGCCTTAAACTTAAAGGTCAAAGTGGTGGCTCTGGCCAGCCTCTGCTTTGCTCGCCGTGAAGGTAACATGATGCGCCAGGGAAGCTTATCTCCACTAGGAGGCCAGTGGTGGGAGCGCTGTTGATGGCAGCGCGATCTTGCGCCGCATCTGTTTGGGGTTTCGCTCATGCGCAATACCGCCGCCCCAACGTCCTGGGTACGCAAGCCGCTTGGGTACCCAGCACTAAAACTCCCTTTGCTCTCTCTTTGCTTGTGGCGTTGGAAGGAGAGGGCCTTTACATGGCAAGGGCGGACAGGGGAGAAGTGTAGCCCAGGCGTGTCGCAAATCTGCATTTGAGAGAGCAAACATTCCACCGCAGCCTTTCCTTTCCATTTCTTTTGCTTCGCACGCAGCATTGAGGTGTCAAAGGTGCCACCACGGGATTGGGCGGGGTACTGAGGGCATTTTTGGAGCACGGTATGTTGAATTAACCATCGCAAGTGCTTGCGCGTTCGAATTACCGGGCGTTTTCGCCCATTGAAGTACACATAGCTTTGATGGGACCTCGCTGGGAGTTCAAATTAAGCTTGTTCGAAATAATGAGATTCGACTGTACATGTGCTTCTATGGTGCAAGGGCAGGGATAGAACTTTGTTATATCGACGAAGTGCGTAGCAGTTGGCTAATAGTTAGAAAGGATCTTTTTTCAACTTGGAAACAAAGCATGTTCATGCTTTATGTCCTCTTAATAAGACCTTATAGTTTGTACATCTTTAGAAAGTGCTTGATTACCTATGTGCATATGCTGCTGTAGTTCTAGTTTTTTAAAAGCCTCCCATGAATGGGCAGAGTGCGAGTGCTATTTCAATACTTGCACTCAATCAAGGGAGGCTATAGCAGAGTATCCCCATTTTAATCCCTGCACTGGCTTTCCAGTGTCAGATTCATGGTGGGGAGACATTAGTGCTTGCGCAGGCATTTCTCAAGGCTGTTCATCATTCTTTTAAACGGACTGAAAATGTTAAAGTATACGGATCTCATAGATGAGCTTTCCGGCAAGCTTAAGCTACTCTTTTGTGGATAGAGCTTGTCTAGGTAATGACCCTGGATATGGGCACGGGATTTAGGTGTATACAAAAGCACATGATCTGCTTGGAGAATGTTTTTCATTCTTACACACTGTCTGACTCTCCATATCATACCTGCCAAGTCTTCTTTATTATCCAGGAGAGTCCCGAGTTTGGACTATTTCTTACGTTTGGATGGTTGTCATAAAAATCTCCCGGAAATTACTGTGCGTGACCTGCCGCACTGTCAAAAATGTAGGCCAATTCAATCCAAACCTGTTAACCCATCGCAGTGATGCGAAACCGGCTGATACGAATTCGCGAAATTCCCCTGCCGAATTTTTGGGCCAAAATTCGTATGCTCTGAACACACTTCCTCATCGCGGCAGGTGATTAGTACTGAAACCTTCGAAGCCTGAGAGCAGCTTTGAATGTACTATGTGTGCGGCCAGCGCATGCACTTTCACGTGGTTGTCATTTTCCACAACCGCAGTGAACGAAACCATGGTTGCTTTTGACACGGTCATGTATGGCGACAATGTGAATGGCAGAATCCGAAAATGTGCACGCGGCCAATGCTCTACAGTAAATGCAACGCCACTTTCAGCAAACCCTGCAGACCAAACTGCTGCTGATTTGATCATAGATACCAACGAAAACAAGACAGTTTTAAAGGCCCATGCGCAGCCAGCACATGCTGATTGATAACGACACTACTGTTTGCCGCAGCTACTGTTTGCCACGCACGAAACCGCTATCACGGCGACGGGATAGCGATCTATGAGCTCCTAGGACACGTGGCTGACGCAGCAGATGATTAAAAGGAATAAAAACATAAAGAAGGGTATAAGCATTGGCGTTCCTGTCCGAAAAATCGAGTAATGTAGCCCCGTGCTTTCGCGCTCGCGGCAGCCAGCTGCTCTGTCCTCAATGTTCACGTGTGTCAGGAAGGCATATGCATGACAGTGGTTTTGACAGATATGGTTTTGTAGTTGTTTTTCACGCAGAATTTCGGCAGTAATTATTGCAATGCCAATGTTTGTGCTTGCGAGGTTGTACGGCCCCCCACCCGTTTTTTGCCATGTCATTTTTTTTTCTTATGATGCACTAACGAAACTAATAAATAGATGCGAGCCCCCCAACCACTCACCTATGAAGTTCCCATTTGGTGAACTAGGCAAACATAAATTCTTAATGTGCACTTGCGAATTGTCAGTGTTCAAGTAAAGGGTGATATTTTTTTCTTTCTGATGGTTTTTTGAATAATTATTTTTATGGGTATTTTGCCAGTAGAAATCCTATTCATTGTAAAAAGTGCGTCGGCACGAAACCTGGAGACACATAAAGGGGCATATGTATAAGGTGCTCTCATCAGAAAGTGAGGAAATTGGGCTTTGGAAAATGCAAATTTACAGCTTTTCTTTGGCACAGTGCCACCATACCACTATCACCCTAAAGAGGACAGATTAAGGCTCAAGATAGCTATCAATCAGTTTTGACCCTGCGTGTGGCTTACAATTCACTTTGAGTGTAGCAGACACATTTAGCATTTACATAAATATGTAGACATTTATAAATGTAGGCATTAAGGGGGCAGACTGGTCTTAGACATTTTTTGTTTATTTCTTCAGTGATCTTGATAAAACTGCACAGGGTTATGCTGTTTTTTCTGTTGATTTCAAATATTTAATTAGTTTTCCTGTAACTCACTTTGTTCCTGAGATAACTTAAGTTCACCCCCTATTGTTTAAGGCCACCATAGAAAAAAAGTGCTTAATTAAAAGTGATATTTAGGATATGCCAACATAGACTAATGACTATAGAGTGAAAGTATGGAAGACGTTTTTGTTTTTAGGCCTTTATTGGTTATTTCACAGCAAAATGAGCTATACATTTTCAAAAGCAGTTGGAATTGTGTTACAATTTTGATGAGTAATTAATTAAAAAGGCCTGTGCTCTAAATTCTGCTCCCATACTTGCATTCTCCACACATACAGGTTTCCACTGCAAAGAGAATTATTGTTGTACCTGCCCTAGCTGCAGAGATATTGAGGCCTCAAAATTGAATAGTCACAAATTTACTTTTTGAGAAAAATGGAAAAAACTGAAAACACACAGTTTCTTCAAAAAGCAACAATCATGATGCGCATGTTTTGCAATCCTCATGAAGGCGCTCATAAATTGGTAGTAAAGCTTTAGACAAAGGTGCTGGCAAATTATAAAGAAGCCTCAAAGTCGGTTCCCCATTTTTTTTGCAGGTTCTGCATGTTAACAGCACCAAGAATCTGGACAGTTAAAATGACATTACAAAAAAATTACTACTTCCTGGTGCATGAAAATTTGCAGAGAGATAGAAAAATTCTTGCAGAAACCAAATATGTCAATTTTAAAAAATGAATTTTTTTGTCACTTTTTGGTCCCAAAGAGCAGTCTGCCCCCTTAATATTGTTTTGGGATGTAATTTATGGGGGGATTTTTCATTCCCAATTGCCCTGTAGCCACCTGAAGAACTTTTGTTCAATTCTATGTGCTCTGGCAGTAATGTGGCTACAGGGCAACTCGTACTTCGCATTTTCCATGTGCATGCCAACTCGTACTTCGCATTTTCCATTTTGTTGGAATAGGTGCACAGCCCGACTACAGTCAAGCCTGGATAGAGTATTACAGATCTTTGGGGATGTTCCGAGAAGCAGAGATGATTGAGCAACAGGCACGAGGCAACCAAACCCAGCAGGTAAGGAACACAACTTGCTTGTTGAGCGCTAGCTGTGACCCTTGTTGCCTGTATTGACGGCACTCAGTTAACTATTGATGCTTTCCTACCTGTGGACATGCGTGGTTGGGCTGTGGTGCACCTTTTGCATGTTCCACACTATGTGGTAGGAGTGATGCACTTTCCACGTAGCTTTCTTGTGTTTCTTGTGCATTGTGTTTTAGCTTGTATTTCTTTGCCATGGATTATGGTTTTGGTGAGGTTGCCTGTATTGACGGCACTCAGTTAACTATTGATGCCTTCCTACCTGTGGACATGCGTGGTTGGGCTGTCGTGCACCTTTTGCATGTTCCACACGTGGTAGGAGTGATGCACTTTCCACGTAGCTTTCTGGTGTTTCTTGTGCATTGTGTTTTAGCTTGTATTTGTTTGCCATGGATTATGGTTTTGGTGAGTGTACTTGTAACGCATGTGCGTAAATCTAATTTAGCTTTGCATGCTACAGTAGAGACCGCTTATAACGTAAGCAGATGGAGTGGCGAATATCCGCACTATAAGAAGGGCCGCAATTGCGCAAAACGCGTTGAGCAAGCATCCTCGCATGTCTGAGAATCAAAGCGTGCGATGCGTGGTGCTTCCAACCTTTTAAATTTCCAAATGTTAAGCAGAAGGATAACATCCAAAAATATGCATTGCTAACGCAGTGAACAAGAAATGGGTGGGGGGGGGGGGGGGGTATATAACAAAGAGAAAGCACCATGGCCAAAATTCGCCAACTGCTTTTTAGACTGTCTCAATTCCCGTCTAGTGCAGCCACCGCAAATAATTTTGTTGATTCCTTGGCAGACTGCAGCTTAGATTGCATGCGACCGCGACCAAAACGCAACCAACACCGGTGAGGCCTAGCTTGCCGTTCGGTATGTTTTTGCAAGGAGTTCGTCGAAGACATGAAGATTCGGTTTCGAAAAGACTGTACTCGAGCACTGAAAACTAAGAACAGGGTGCGTGATAGGAAGTTCGCGTTTGCGGCCGGGAGGTCAACATTGAGGAAAACCCGCAAAGGTTACGCAAGACAGCACACTCGCAGCAAAGGCTAAAGCCCGCACCACGTAGCTGTAAAAGGTTTTAAATTTACGGATGAGGTAGCAAATGCGATATCTGTAGCAAGCACAATACCGACCACATTTTTCTGACAGGAAACTATCAAGCGCAGTTGATAGGGAAGAGATCACACATGCAATGTTGAGCCGTGTGCCATTGCTTATCTGTCGTTTAAAGGGGCTCTGCATCACTTTTCGAGCATGATCGGGAAAGCGCTCCCGATTGGTAGTGCTCAAGGGCAGGAGGCGCGCGTGACGCTTTTTATAGCTCCTTCCATTACTCCCTGCTTGGCTTCCAACGCTTTTGTCGGAACGAGAGAAGCGAGAATGCGATTGCAGCGTGTGACAAATAAGCTCCGCTCGTACTGGACAGACTAACTTTTTTAGGCAATATGCTTTTCCACTGAATTAATTTTATTGTTATTCAAAAAAGTGTTTTATAGCCTCTTTAATTCATTGCCACGGCAACAGAGTCATGTTCATTTTCACTTTCTTCCCTCTGGCTCTTGTTCGTTCACTCTGCGTCCCCTCCTCTATAACGATCTCCTCGCTCGCTCTCATAGTGCCTCCTTTTCGACGTGCACTCGTTACAGCGATGGTTGCAAAAATTTTCGGCAACAGTATTGTAACCAGTCTTTCGTCTTGGGAGACTCCAAAATGAGCAGTATGTGTACATGACGGTTCTATGAAAGGTTGAACGGGAGTCGAAAAATGCCGCATTGTAACCGGTTCCGTACTATAAGTGGTTACGTTATAAGTGGTCTACACTCTTTGTGGTGGAGAAATGCTGCTGCTTTTTATGTGCTTCTTGTGGTCTCCTGGGCCCCCAATTTACGATTCTGCAAATATGTCCTTTGTTTTCCCCTTCTCTAGAAGACTTCAGTGCGGTCGAAAAAGGCAAGTATTTCTTTTTGCTGCATGTGATGCTATGCTATAGAAGAGGGCAGAATTATTCTATTAAGAGCCGCCGGATTAGCAAACTGGTAACACTAGCCAAGCAGGTACAAGGAACTGCGATTGTCTGAACCTCGAAATGTCCTATTATATCTGGTGCTGATGGCACTTGCAGAAACAATGCAATAAGAATTTACTGTAATGTAGCTTGCTGTAAAATGCTAGTAACTTGAAACCCTGGACAGATGAGATCCGTTAAGGCGGTGTGGAAAAAGCGAGAAAACACACTATTGACTAATTTGCCAATTTCAGCGTCAATTGTAATACAGTCTACGCTCACTATAACAAACCCCCATACAACGGACTTTCAGGTACAACAGACCACAATTCAGCCTAGGTTTTGTCTGTGTATTAATTGAGCGAAGTTTGCTTTCAGTGGATCTCAATACAATGCACTATCAGCTACCAGATTTGGGTGCACGTTAAAGAACCCCAGGTGGTCTAAATTTCCGGAGCCCTCCACTACGGCGTCTCTCATAATCATATGGTGGTTTTGGGACGTTAAACCCCACATATCAATCATGGACTATCAGCTACAGTGAACGAAGTTAGCACCACTTCAAAATTGAGCGCATAGGGTACAAAATTTTGCAATGTTTATGCCGGCTGGCAACAAACTTGACCGCATCGCTCTCTGTGCAGTAATGCCACAGTAATTTTCAATTGTGGCTGTCAAGATTGGTGGTTTTCAGTCAAGCAGAGTCTGCAGCGAAGCCACTTTGAGAGGATCTTCATGCAAATGCATGCGCAAATGGGTCAAATGTTTGAGCTGACTGAAAAGCTGTGCAAAGTCTTTTCTGTTGGACGTTCTGGTTCTCTGAGCAGGCAAGCTTCACTATCAGATAAGAGTACCGCGGGAAGTGTGTTGATGCTAGGTTAGTTCACAACTCTTAGACCTAATTGGGACAGCCCAGAGAATCGTTGACACTGCGCGGGAGCAAGAGCTCCCAGCGCAGCGGCCAGTAGGTGAATCATTTTAAGCAAATATGTCTTCCCGTCTGCGGCATATCAATTTATATTCAAAGCCGATCAACAGTGGCTGGCTGAACCTGCTAGCTAGAAAGTTATTATTGGGCTAGGCATTGCGATTGTGCAGGGGTAGCGTAGCGTCGCTGAAGTTTTGTTAACCTCTCAATATATATCAGTGTCAAATATATCAGCGGTAACGGTCCCTGTTGGGGTGGCACCCTCGCACGGGGTTTGATAATGCCGGGCGCATTTAGTGTGATTATGACGGTCTGTTGTAATGAAAGTAGGACTATGTTGTACCCAGCTTGAGATGAACACACTTTTATTTATGGTTCAAATAGAGAAACTTTTCAAGTAGTGGCATAATTTGGCTGTGCAGACTTGCAATCCATTTGGTGATAGCAACTGAGATGACGCTGTCAGGGCTGACCCATACTTTGTTGTTGTGAGCGTAGTTCTGTTTCAGTGAAGTTGTTATTCATTGCAAAGCACGATTTTTCTGGGTTCATGTTACTGCGGCCAGTTCTGAGTCTGCAATATAGTTCTCATTCATAGTTTTTCAAGTGTCATTAAAGTAAGATGCTTGATATCATTCAAGACTGCCATCAGCTTAATTTCAGAATCAATAAAGAAGTACGCAGAGGTTGCTCGCCAGCATTAGTTCATTTAAGTCTACTGTACTTTCACATTTCATGTGGAAGACTTGAGTTTTATATGAATGTGATTATTCATACAGTACCTGCTTAGTGTACATGGTAAATTGTAAACTGGATGGTTTTTGTTTAACGTATGTGGCTCTTATTAAAATATCACCCTTGTGTGCATGAGTGTGTAGCATGCTTCACAGAGCCTCTTACATCTGCGCAATGCCTCTTCCTGCATGCACTTGAGAGCGTATGCTCGACTTCAGTGCTTCTGAAAAGTGTTTTTTGGGTGCCTGTTTTTGTCTTTTATCATTTGCTTGGCCATCGCAGGGGGGGGCTGCTACAGCAATCACTGCCTATATCTGCACCAGTGCAACCTTCCACTATCATGTGGTATTTGTTTAGGTTTGCCTCAAAAGTTTGTCAGGTATGTTTTATAGACATAGGGAAGTCAAGTTGAGAGCCCCTATTGTTGTTTTGTTTCACTTAAGGTGTTAGCTTTACAAGTTTGGTTTGTTCAATGAGGATGCTACGCACCGTGGCCAAACTTTTCGAAAGTTGCCCTCGCCCATGTAAACTACTGCATTTACTCGCCTAATAAACGCACTTGCATGAAAACTCGCCCCCAACTTCAGTCTTAGCAAAATTTTGATTTTTCTTCCCCCACGTAATAAGCGCACCTCCTTACATTCATTCACTGCAGTCACGGTAACAGACACCTAGCGCCTCCAGACCAGTTTGATCTCTCGTTTTTGCCCCTCCGCAGTGGTCTATTGGCTAAGGTATTCAGATGCTGACCTGCAGGTCGCGGGATCGAATCCCGGCTTCGGCGGCTGCATTTCTGATATCGGTGAAAATGCTGTAGGTGTAGGCCTGTGGTAGAACCCCCTATTCATGGTTGAACTCCCGATTCTCGCTTCGCTTGTTATCCACTCGTAGAGTCACTTCTCATGTAGAAGGGAGGCAGCGGCTGTACCTTGTCAGTAATCTTGTTAGCTCTTGTTATTGATAGTTTCTTTTGATGCTTCGGGGTGGGGGAGGGGGGGGTAGCTTGCTCAAATAATGGTTACTTGTTACCACGACCTCGTCTTGCTTGCTACAATATTAAGTGTCATCACGGTCGTCATGCGAGGTTGCTGTGAAGTTGGCAGAGTGCATTGTAGCTTTATAGGGCAAGCTTTTGGGCACTCCTCTAGATACCACTGTTGCGGTTAAACGATTGGGAGAACAGATAGTCGCAAAACGTTTTTATGGTGTGGGCAGGTGGCACCGGGGACAGTTTGCAGAAGATAGCGCAATTAACCACCAAAGATGAGTAAAGTGCAATAAAGAAGCTGTTTCCAAACAGTCTGTCGATTGTGAAAGGCTAAGGGACCTATCATTTTTTTTTTCATTACCGCATTTGTTGCTCCTCCCGAAAAAGTTCTCGTAAAATTTACCCTGCATAAAAAATGCACCCCACAACTTTGCTCCAATTTTTCGAAAGAAAAGTGCGTTCATTACGCGAGTAAATACGGTAATCATAAATGTTCCCAATACCTTCACATGAGACAGCAATGCAATGAAAATTGCATTAAGGCAAACTTGTTGGCTAAGCCAAATTTTTTAAAGTAGGCTGTATGAGTAGCACAGTTTTGAGTGTGAAGTCAATTCTGATATTGAAGTGCGAGTGCAAATTAAAGATTGGAGAGGATTCTCGGGTATATTCTTATGAAACAGTGACCACTGTCTTGCCAAAATAAGGTAATGCAGAGGCTGAATACTATTTGTGTACATGATTTGGTGCAACCAAAGTGTTTCTGACTTAGGACATGAAAGGCAAAAATGCTATTTCCCCAGCCTCTTCTTTCAACTTCTGTGGAAGCCCAACTGATGTGGCAGACAAGGTTGTGCTCCTTTCGAGTTAGGAGTTCCAAATATGTCTCATAGACATAACCATACATGAACATCTGAAATTTTGGATGCTCAAAATCTTCGGCGTCTAATTTTTTGAACTTTCTCAAGTTTCAGATGCAAAATAGCATTCATTGAGCCTTTGCCACACCTGATAGATATGTGAGGTTTAACGTCCAAAAACCACCATATGATTGTGAGACCCCCTTTGCCACACCTATCACTTTCATGTTAAATCATTTTCTTAAGTCAGTACAATTACAACCATAACAAAGCCTGAAAGGACAACTTTGCTTCGATGCAAGATCTATGGGATGAAGCATATTATAAATCTGAACGGGCCACTGCCAATCGAACGATGAGTGGATTTGTCTTTGGGAAGTTCGAATACTAACATTTTTTTCCCAGTACCCATTGAATAGCAAACACAACCAGAAAAATATTTGTGTGTTATTGTCATTTTCATGGCATGTTCTGTACGTGCAGTTTTGCCAATGAGTCAACTCATAATTTTGCTTGAAATAAGTCACTGGACGAGAATATGCAATGACATTCAACAACTCTATTTAGGGATTTTTTAAATGAGCAGGAAGCCTTCCCCTGCCCCAGTACAGAAATCTCTTGGATGCAAAACACTTGAACTCGACATGTATGCTACCATGCACTTGAAGGCATGTATTCTACAAGATGTGCAATGGGAGCGGATAGCACAGGGCACATAAAGTGAAGAATCACTAAACTGACCGAGTTTCACTAAACCAGCTGAGATACGCCGACCATGCGCTGACCTTTTACTTGAGCTCAGGGAAAACTGTGCATTGACTTGTAGCTGCCTTGATATTAGATGCATCACTTTATTTGTGATGCACATGATTCAATAATGCTGCAGTATTTGCTAATTATCTTGCTTGTGTGGCTGCAGGGGCAGCAGGGTGCCTTCCCTCCGGGTGGTACTGGTCCAGGGGCCCAACAGCAGCCAGGTCAGGCTGCTGGTGCTGCACCAGGCCAGCCAGGGGCTGCCGGTGCCCCTCCGCCAGCGCAGGGCTATCCTTATTCAGGGCAACAAGGACCCCCAGCAGGTGCTCCTCCTGCTGGTCAGCCCACGTATGGGGCTCCTCCTGGTGGAGCTGCAGCTGCCACAGCTCAGTACCCTGGTTATAGCTATCCAGGCTATGGGGGTGCTCCCCAGTAATTGGAATCACTGGTGAGTTTTTTTCTTTAAATTGTGCTAGTTTTCACTGCTGCTGAAAGCAACTGCAGACAATGTCCACTAAGCAGCAACTGTTTTCTGCTTGCCAAACGGCCATTTCCATTGTGTCCACCAAAGGGGGAATTTCCCATGCTGAGAAACTGCTTCATTTATTCATTTTTTTACGCATTGTGTCAAAGCAGGTGCCATGTATAACATGTATACTGTTGTCCTTTATGCAAGGGAACACACAAATGCGTGGCCTGCACTCAGCGGCGGCTGCCTACAGCACCATCAACCGACAAGTGAAGAAAGCATTTCTACTTTTGGCATCATCTATGGCCAAACAAGATAACGAGTTATGACCGCTAGACAAACACTGCTAGATTACGTTCCCTCAGCGCTCGCACGGCAAGTGATATCGAGCGAGTACTGCAGCTTGCACCGTGGTCAGGCACAACGTTTAATATGTTGGCAGTGGACTACACACTGCAGGCCTGAGCAGAGAGGGAGTGCAATCTAGCAGCCCTTGTCTGCCGGCCATCACTCGTTCTCTTTTTGCTGTTGGTTGATAGGGCAAAGCGCAGGTCACGCGTTCGCGTGTTCCCTTTCTTAAAGGACGACTGTGTACCGTATTTACTCGATTCTATCGTGCCCTCGATTGTAACGCGCACCCGATTCCCACCGAAAAAAAAAAAAAAAGTAAGATGTCGATTGCAACGAGCACCCATTTTTCTGGCTGGCCCGCACGATCACACCACTCGAAAAAACGACTCCTTTCGGGAGCGTCTTCCATTTAAATATGAGGTATGGCCGAAGCTTGTGCCCATCTGACGTGTAACAGAGCATTGCCATCACTGTAGTTTTACCGTGGACCGATGTCAGCACGCGAACTTACTTCGCCCCCTTCTTCTCGACGGTTGTGGTGCCAGGCATGTCGAAGTAAAGAAGCGTCTGATCGGCATTCCCGATTTGCTCAAGCAGGTAGTCGTTGTTGCGCCGCAAGTTTAGGACGAACCTCTGAAAACTGTGAAGCTTTTCATCGTACTCCTCCGCAAAACTTTTCGCATATGCATGTTCCCCTTCGGAGGGAAAAGCCTTTCCTCTTCATAAAGTTAGTTAGCCAGCACCTGCTCGCTTTAAACTGGCTCCGCATTAGACCTTTTTCTAAGACTAATTGCATAGCCCGCACTTGGAGCAGTTCTGCCGTCACGGGCCGCTGTGCTGCTCGCTGCTAAAGCACATACTCGCCGAGCAGCTCTTTAATTTGCGGAAACCGACCCTGCTGTGGTCCACTGAAGCCTTTGCATGAATCTTGGACAATCTTCTGCTTTTGTTTCCGCCAGTCCCACATGCACGTTTCGGGAATTCCGAACGACCGCGATGCGGCCCGATTCCCGTCTGTTTCGGCACATGTGACGACTTTTAAAAGCGGCATCGTGGTGCACTCGTCGAGTTTCTCGAGTCGGCCCTTCCATGCCGTCGATGCTAGTGAACTACAAGATTATGAACTCCTCAGCGCACGTACGAAGTGCCGCACATGGGAAACACATTGGCAGAAATGGCCGACACGATAGGCAGAAATGGCCGACGCGCCATGCCGAAGCACGTAGGGGGCGGCCATTTTGGAAACGCCGATGGCAATACAGTGAAAGCTCGTTAATTCACGCCTCATTAATTTGAAATTTTGGATAATTCGAAATGGTCGCCGCAGTCCGGTCCGCAGTGCATAGGAGACCATGTGTAAAACGATTCGTTATTTCGAACAGAAATTGCTGCCTCTACGGATAATTCGAAGCGCGCGCCGCCGAGCGTCATCATCGTCGAACACTAGTGGAAGCTTTCACGGTCGAACGATAGGTGGCACGACCAGTTTTTTCGAGCTTCAAGTGGCCTCCGAGCAAAGGGCGAGCAAAGTATGGCCTCCAAAATCCAGAAAGCAATTTTTTTTTACGTAGCCTTCCCGCTATCTCAGCGCCTGGCGCTACTTGTACGCGAGACCCACGGGACGCTGAGGAGCCGGCGGAGTAGTCCTAGCAGTCCTAGGCCGCTCCCGGCAGCGTGACTTTGTTCCTCGAGCACGTTGTTCGTTCACGCCATGCACATGTTGGTGCGCGCATGGGAACAGGTGACCGCGACCACAATGGCAAACTGTTTCCGCCACAGTGTATTCGCAGCTGGAAGTGCGCAGGATAGTTGTGACGTCGACGTGGATGGGGCTGAGGAGCTCATGCCAGTGGCATTGCGTGACACTCTTCGGGGCGTACGTTTTGTTGATTATGTTGAAGTTGACACCAGTGCATCGGTGTGTAGTGCCCTGACTGATGAGGACATTATCGCTCAAGTAGCCGGTGCGCAGCCCGATGCTGAAGAGCCAGAAGGTGAGAAAGACGAAAATGACGAAGCGCCGCATATATATATATATATATATGCAGCTAAACTTCATTTGAATTATTTGTCTGGCTTTCTAAAATTTGTATTCATAAGGTATGTACCAAGGTATGTTATAAGGTATGTAGTAGACTCTCTGTAAACTGAAATGCTAAACGAAACGTTGCCTCTGCAATGCTTGGTTTCCAGCTTGTATTCTACACTCATGTTCACCTCTCAGTAAACGGAACTCCTGTTGAATGGAACATATTTTCCCGGTCCCTTCAGGTTCTGTTTACTGCGAGTGTACTGTATTGGGTGTCCAGAAAAAGAGAACAAAAAAATGCTGGATTGTCATTTTTATCGGCAGTATTTTTAATGCTCTTTCGCATTAACAGCGCCTGAAGCAGTTTTCAGAATGGGTGTCCCCCCTTCATGAGCAGAGCCTAAGATATTGTTGAGGTCACTTGGCACGTAGTTGTTATTGCAGTGCATGTTTAGATAGAAGATTGAAGTGCCTTTTGTTAACAAATGAAATATGAAGTGGCGGTGCACTTCAGGTGAGTCTAGTTTGCCCTCTTTTGCTCCAAAAGAATGGTTAAAGGTGAACACCACTCAGGTTATCTTGTGTGTTGTGTTTTTTTTTCTCCCCCCTTGTGTCTCTTGCAGATTTTGAGCTGTCTGCCCTAGAAGTGTGCTACTACTACCCTCTTGCCCTTGGTCCTCTTGATGATCATGATCTTGATGCTTGTGCACACTCCGGGGCGGTATTGCACAATGCAGAGCAGGCCCTTGAAAGTGATAAAATATCATAAAAGAAAACCTTGCTATCAAGAAATTGGCATCCTCCTTTGCTGCTGGATTGCTTTATTCTGCTCTTCACCACACCCTTAGTGCACAGCTCCAATGGCCTCATTTGTTTTTAGTTCTCTCCTTGATTGCGGTGGGTATCCTAAAATTTGGGCGCCGGAGAGCAGGTTGGCTTGTAGGGGGGCAACACAGTGGCAGACACATTCCGACATGCTGCTCTGGAAGGGCAAGTGGCTTCTTTCGACGGTGTCTCTGTGCAGACAAAGTATTATTGTGTAACACTACACGTGCACATTAAATTCACATCTAACCTGTCATAAATATTTTTTCTTAATGCTCACAATTATTCTGATTGTCCAGTAACATTTGTTTTTTTCTTGAGGCAACACAATAGTTAGGCCATCGTCTTGTTCATTACCTATTCGCACAGTTTTATTGTACAGATCATACTCTCTGCGCCATCTCGCATTCAATTGTCATGTAACTAGAATGGCCATTGGGGTTTTTGTTTTTGACCTTTCTTATGCTCCTGTTCTCATTTTTTGTACTCTGTGGAATAAACTTCTATGTGAGAAGTGCTTTTTTCTCTGCAGCAGTGTGTGCATGTGTGTGTGCTGTTTTTTGGGGTATGGGCATGGAAGTGGGAAGGCGGCAACTTACATATGCGGCTGACTTTATATTCTAATGCTGAAACTGCAAAGATAACTCATGTGTGCAGTACAGACCGGTTTTCACCAGACATTTTATATAGGTGCACATCTGTGTGATTTATTGTGGGTAATAAGGCCTCTTTTTTGTAGTGACAGTAATCTGGTAGGTTGGGCTTTTGGTCCATGTTTCTCTGAAACATCTTCTGTCATGGGGGGAGAGGTGGTAGGATTTTGCAAACGAACTTTGGGGGCAATGGGGCAATTTATTTGCGAATGAACTCCGTTGGATGCAAATTCTTCATGGCAGGCACTTTGCTCTTCTCATTCTGATGCGGCTTGCATTCACGTTTTCCCGTCTTTATGTTCTAGGGGGTGCCATTCACTCTTCTCCTTCGCAAGGAACCCTCGCAAAATAGCACAATCAGGTGATACGTCCCCTCCTGGGCCACTGCTCTGCCGTCTGTGATCATATATATATATATATATATTTTTTTTTTCTACCTGCGTGCCATTGCTGCTAACGTGACTGCTCTTTGATGCATCTGAATACCTTTTTGAAGTGCTATTTGCGTATTTCTCCATTCAGTGCAGCAAATTCTAAGGTAGTGCACTTAATAATCATGAACAAATTTCGTCGAGAGCTTTTGCGTGAATTCTTGGCCCTGTTCTGAATGAAGTGCAGTGCTTCATATTGTTTTGCCCATCAATGCAGTGCATTAGTTGAGGTACTGTGCTTAAAACTGTTGCAATTTTTGCGTGGGTTCAGTGAAAGTCTTTTCCCTTTTTCTTCGTGAATTGCTTTATTACCTTATCCTAATGATCTGTTGCAATTTTTCGCCTGCTTCCGCCATCTTTCACAGACACAGTTTCTATTGAATACCTTTTCTCAATGGGTGTTTAGTTTTGTGGGTGGCCGTCCTAATGTCAGTGTTGTGCAATACGTTTAGCACAAAATTGATATATGCATTCTTTTTTGTTGTTTTTGAAGTTCCCGTTTTTTCAAAAGTAAATTCAAAGGTGGCTGTGAAGTGTTCAAGAGTTAATAATTTAACGGTCAGTATCTTTCTGCTATGCAATTTAAATGCGATGAACAGAATGGATGCTATTTCAGCTGTTGTCTTATTTTAAGTAAATCTTTTAATCATATCAACTTCAGTGCTTATCATTATAGAGCAGGTTATAGTTAGTCATGGTTCAAGTACAGTCAGTGATGTTCCCTACTACGCCGAAGAATTTGCGTTCAGAGGCATGAAAATTCCCTATTTTGGGGATTTCCCCCTGCAAACGTTGATAAAATTCCCAGCACATTTCCCTGCACAACAGTGCCGATTTCTGCCCCCATTCATGCGCACACATACAGTCGACTCTTCTTAAACGGAACTCGAAGGAGATCCATAAAACTGTTCCATTTGTAAGAAGTGTCATTTAAGCAAAGAACAAACCTCACCTTTCCCATGAGGATGAGGAGAAAAAGGAGTGAAGGGTGGTTTGTTTGCAAGCTTGAGTTGTTTTTTTCACAAGGTATGCACCCATGCCTGACAAATTAGCCAGAAATTCTGGACTAGCCTCATGCTCAAAATAGTGCTGCGATTGTTCAACAGCTTCTATTGGTCTGGTGGCACCACTGCACTGGCAATGTTGTCATAACATTCATTGCGGAAGGTTGATCCTCATCTTGCACTTTGGCAATAATTTTTTCGACAGTCTTTTCACGACAGGTTCAAACATTTTAATTGATTCGCAGTCCTTCAGCGCGAAAGGGGTTGACCTCACTGAATACTGCCTCAATATTGGTATCAGCAGGGCTTTCTTTATCAGGTACTGTTTCTTGCACTTGAAAGCCAGCATTATGAAAGAATCTGTGTATTGTTGTTGCCTTCACTTGCTCCCAGGCACAAGCTAAAATATGTATGGCTACCAATATATCTATGCTATAGCATTTCCCGCTGCCTGCTCTAAGCAGCATCGGATGCAGCAATTGTCTGTGGTAATGAACTTCAATGTTCTGAATAACCCCTTGATCCATCGGCTGGATCACTGCCATTGCATTGGCTGGCAAGGACTCCAGGGTGATGGCTTGAAGTCTTTCGACCTGACCGTGGGCTGGGCAATTATCCACGGTGTAGACAACCTTCCTGCCTTCCTTGCCTCGTCAATCTTGCGTCGTCCTTCCATAGCTAGTTTTCGAAAATAGCCAGGCTTGCGTGGTGCATGCGCCAGAACAGATCACAGCAGATGAAGGCGCACTGTCGCCACTAATTATTGGTCGTCATAGGAGAATTAAACTATTCCTGATATTCCCTGCAATATCGCGAAGATTCCCCTTTGGCTCAATGTGACAGGTGAAAATTCCCCCCCCCCAAAAAAAAAGAGGAAAATTCTCTGTACGGGACATCACTGAGTAGTTATGATTGAATGTACGGGACATCACTGAGTAGTTATGATTGTATTGACATTCTCCATACAAGTTCATAGATGTTGAGTCTCGTTGAGCAGCATTGTCAATTGTCCGCTTGGTGTAGGTGTTCTTAAAAAAAACTGTTGTGTATACAGTCGAACCTCTACTTTTAACTGTTTTTATACGGGTTACTTACGAAATATTTATATTGAAATTGTGTACCGCAGAAGTTGAGCATCTCTTCGGGATGGCAGGGAACACTGCAGGTGCACCACTAGGCTTAAGAGGAAGGTGTTAAACAAAAAAACTGGAAGGTGTTAAAAAAAAAAATGTTGCAATAGCAAGCCAGGACAGTTCAGTGGGGAAGAAAATCAGGAACCTCTTCACTCCTTTAAGTAACTGTTTACATTTGCTCCAGCCCTGAGCAAGTGTGGGCTGTTTTCAGGCATGGCTCTTTTGGCCAGTGTCTGTTGTTGTGGGCAGCAAGCGAATAATAAAGGGCCAATAAACAGGTTCCGTGAATTCGTGCAATGAACTGTCGCAGTTGCATTTTCTGCATTACTACAGTGCCGCACAGACCCTCATTTCAAAGAAAAACTCCTGTGCTTGACCAATCCCTGCATACGCGCAGTGACACAGACTGTTAAAGGGAACACCGGAAGGAGTGTCGTTAACTCGGCGCCACCACTGGCCCGCTGCGGCAACTAGTTTCGGGCCAGATCAGTAGCTCGTTTGATGTTTACTACAGTTCCGAACGCGCTTCAGCTTGTCGTGAAGGCCGCCGTCCTCCTTCTTTCAAATTTGTCCGCAGGCTGCATGGCCACGCTCGGATGGAAAGCTTGGGCAAAGCTCAAAAGAAACTAGGATATGTAAAATACTGCCTCATTGATATCTTTGGATAACAGAAGCATGACTTCTTTACAGATGTCATTTTGTAGGAGAATTATAATATTTTAACTTTTGGAGCGCGTATTTGCTGTACAATAATGCAGATTTGAGACGCTAATGTGCGTAAGCTCAACAAAGCATTTACAAGTGCCTTTAACTGAAGCCACCAGAAAACTTTCTCAAAGTGGGCGATTTTTCATCTAACGAGAGGCAAACGAAAGACGGCCATCTAGCTCATGTGTCAGGTTATGTTTATCTGATTATAGATCTGAAGAGCGGCTCACTGAAGAGCGGCTCACTGTACCAGACGACAAACGAGTGCCGCTCATAGCACTCGATGATCCTGTGCGAAACTAGTTGCCGCCAGCAGACGGTGGCACTGAGCAGACGACACGTGCTCCAGTGTTCCCTCTAACGGTAGACCATGTGCAAGTTGACTTGGCACTGAGCTTGTTGATTGATTCTTTGTACTACAAAACAGTGCCTTTGCCCTACAGTGATGCAGTGTCAGTCACACAATCCTCATTTTACTTTGCTGCCCTCTGCAGCTTTGTAGAGCCAAAGATTAAAGAAACACAGTGTCAAAACAGAAGCCTCGGGGATGACGAGGCATCTCGCTACTTTACCACTAGGGAAAGGGTGCTCCTCACAACTTTCTCCACATGCCATTATATATGACACGTGCTTATGTGAAAGAAGCCCTTCTCTGTCGTTGGCTGCATGCCAATGACGTGTTGCTGACGTGTCATGTTTCCGTGGGAGGCGGGGTCGTGAAGAGCTACACCTTCATCTCTGTGCGGACAAGGGTGGTGAGGCTGCGCAAAAACTTTACCAGCTGAAACCGATGTTCTAACATCTGAAATTTTCTAACTCTAGCTTGCATTTCCAAAATTCTTGATTTAGCATGTTCACATAGCGAAATTGAGCGTATTTCTCTGTTACAATTTTTGGACCCCAAAGTTATTTACTGGCCCTTTAAAGCAGAAGGTGTTAACGGGAATGCAGTTCTTAATTCTGGCTGCCAGTTCCAGTTTGCTACTGGGATCGACTGTATACATTCTCTCTATCAAATGGCCGTGTAAGGCCACTAAAGCGACTAAAGCTTCATCAGTAAGGCGACTAAAGCTTCATCAGACTTCATTGTCTAGTGTCTTTCTAGCACATGTAAAATGTGCTGCGATAATCGCTGCAATATACCTGTCCTAGACGGTACAGATGATGGCATCATTTCCTACTGGCTTGATAGTTGAGTAGTTCAGTAATGCTGTAAGGGAAAACTGTCTTTTGCCTTACTGTCATTTTCGACTTGTTGATACTTGTACTGTAGAATAGGTCATGAATCTGCTAGCTTATGTAGCACAGTATATTTGAAGTAACGGGGACAGGTTTCTAACAAGACTTCTGACAGCTATGTTTAGTATTGTGATGGATTTAAGATGACAGGCACCATGCCGCTTAGGATTGTAGTGTATACTTTATATTCAGCATGCAGTGGCAGCTGCTGCTGTGGTTGTTTGCAGCATCATACGAAAGAGCTATAAACACTAATGTAATAATACCATAGTGTGCTTATTCCTACATTTTTGGTCACAGGGTTGGATTTATACTATGCATGCTTAATTTTTTTCACTATGCCACTTCATAGCTCCACAACAT